GTAGCATAACGATAGTATTGATAATCATAACACAATATCACGACAGCACATCCGACTAATTTGTATCCAACAAAATACATGCAGATATTTGCACAATTATGTATGCGAATTGCAGAGGTACTGTACAATGAATGCAACGAATCATAAGGACGATTTTCAATCATATAACTAAGGTATAACGAGCACCATAGAACTATATGGCAATAAGTTACTAATGTTATTGAATTAAACTTAAATCAAATAAAAACATACATGTCCTAGTGTTCTATGAAGTGATTTATTATCATTCACCACTTAATTTTTAAAAAAAGACCTTATAAGGAACTGACATTAATTTTTCAAATAGTATCATACATATTTAATTAGCTTATAAAATAAAAATGTAATATAAAATATTCTAGAAACTCGTTCTCTTATGTATTGAACACTCAAAATATGACCCAAAATATCTCAAAATAATCATTATTAAAAGAGAATTTCATTGGCTAATATTAAAACAATAATTCTGTATTATCTTTAACCGGTATTAAAATAAATATATGTTTTATAGAACATTGATAAGCATTAAAAATACAGTAAAATAGTAAACAAATATTCTTAAAACACTATTCTATTTAAATAATACTTTAAAACTATCGATAACACAATCATTATTTATATTGATTGATACTTAATCAAAGTTAGCACCCTTTATGTTTTAGGAAATAAACATAAAAAATACTCAATGATTGATAAATTGACTAAAAAAAACCAACCCACCCCAGTGGGTTCAAGTTATAGTTGGAACAAATATAGATAATATCAATCAGTTATTAAAATAATTATCATAAAAAGCAATTCAAAGTAAATATGTATATAGTGATTAATTTTAAAAAGAAATTGTATTCCACAAGCAACATCAACTTCACTTCATTTACTTAATTATATCCTCATTACTATTTTTATTACATTTTTTTTTTACTATTTTTCTATTTACATATTAACAGATCAGTATTGTAATTTTTACGGAGAAACTATAAAAAACTATAATGAAGTTGCATATTTTGTTTAATATAGATTTATCAAAAAGAAAAAAATGGAAAGAAAAGAAAGTCAAATTTATTTTTTTGATTATTCTGACCTTCTTTAGTTAATATTTTTGTTAAATATGAAATTAAAATTATAGTTTATCATAAGCCATTGGAAAATAGAACATATTTTTATAATATTTATATTTAGGATAAATTTATTTTTAACTTTAATAAGTAACACAAGCTTTAATTTAACATATGTAGAAAGAATCCAGTACTTCTGAGACAGTTTCAAAAATCAACATAAGAAGTTAAATTTTAGCGCAAATATTGTTATTTTGAATTCCCCTATGTGAGTAAGTTAAGGGTCAGATTTTAAAAAAAATTATATGAAATAAAAGGGAAAACCTAAATTTTTAATAAAAATATAATTTGTTATGAGTCATCTATTTTTAAAAGAGCTATAAAATTTTATGTAAAAAAAGTTTTAAGGAAGTGTAAAATTTTACAGATTTTAAAAATTGTAATTTTTGGGGGGTTTTTCATCATTTACTGTTAATGATGAAAATTTTTTCAACTTTTTGAAGTAATGTCTTCAATAAGATAAGATTCGTGGTATTTTTACATCTCGTTGAGTGAAATTAATACAATAAGAGATGAAAAATAGCAGTGACACAAAAAAAAAATTACATCAGTAAAATGTATATCTTTTCAACCTCTCATCGAAGCAAAAACATTATTAATATTATACTTAGTTTGAATAATTAAGTGGTCAACAATAAAAAAATAACCATGTATATATATTTTTGTGATTACATGATTTATAAATGTAAACAAATTGTATGCTTCATTTTTTTAACATTTCTAATAAAAATTGCTCACGATTATAAGATTTATTTTTATTTTTGGACTTTCAACAACTCGTTCATTCTAAAAAAATAAGCAAATATCGGTACTTTATTCATTTATTACTAGAAATAAATATAATAAATTTTATATTTGGGATATTTGTGAACTTGAAATATTTTCTTTAAAAAAGATTAAAAATACGAAAAATTATTAGCAACCTCTCCCAACAAGATAAAAATCTATTTATGCGAATTAAATTTTTTAATATTTTTGGGGAGAATATTGATTTATATTCTTTCGGACTAAGCACATGTTTGATTAAATACTTACATAATTCAAAAAAAATTCTGCAAAAATTTTTTTCTCATTTACAAAATCCTGAAATAAAATACAAAATATAATTATTACACAATTATTTTGTTTGGTAATAACTATAAATTTTATTCCGGTAATGTTCAATTGGAAATTCAAAATAAGCATTAATATGTACAGGTTATAACAAAAGCTCATAAGTCACAAAAATTGGTATTTAAAATTAAAAAGCGATTATAAAAAAGGTTGATTTCTGTCGTTATTTAATAATTAAAGAAGAGGAAGGATTGTTTTTTGTACTACAAAAATTTTCATTGGCAAAAAACTCCAATAAAATTATATATCTGTTTTTTCTCTCCTGAGAAATTGCTAAGACATTACGGTTTATAATTTGGAAATAGCCTAATATTATTACATATTAATAATGATTGAACATCTCTATCTCAAAGATATTATCGCCGTTAATAGAATCTCTTTAAATAGCACTTGCTTGACAAAAAAACAACTTTACGTAGTTTAGAAACATTCGGTATTATATCAATATTACTTTTATGAAATATTATATATTTCACAAACAACAAAAGACAATAAGAGGAGTAACAGAAGGTTTTCGGGTAAGAATAGGAGTGCATCAATGTTCTGCTTTAAGCCATTACTTATTTTCTATAGTGATGGATGAAATTACTAAAGAAATACAAGGAGAGGGGCCGTGGAGCATATTGTTTTCTGATGATATAGTGTTAATAGGAGAAAATAGGGAAGAAATTAATGAAAGGCTAGAGGTATGGAGATCAGCCCTTGAAGACAAGGGTTTAAAAATAAGTAGAAGTAAGACGGAGCATATAGAGTACGAGTTTGACAAATGAAAACACGAGGTAAGTGAAATGAGGAGATTAGTGACAATAGACGTGGACGTGATTGGAGAGGTGGAAGGTTTTAAGTATTTAGGGTCAGTTATGCGAGTGGCGGCGGGCATCCTGTCGTCACTGCCACCCGCCGACCTACTCGCCGCGGAACGGGCCACCGGACATGAGCTCCGCTGTAGCGCAAGCCTGTCCTCGAACCCGAGGACAGGCTTGCGCTACAGCGGACCACCATGTTCCGGTGGCAGTCTCGCCTCTCGGAGGAGACTTCGAGAGGCGAGTGGACCAGGTCCCTCATTGGACCCGACCGCCTGGAGAGGTGGGTGGACCAGACACACTGTGAGATGTCTTATCGCCTCACGCAAGTGATGTCCGGCCACGGCTGCTTCAACGAATACCTCCACGGTATTTGGAGGGCAGCCGCGCCAACGTGCGACCATTGCCGGGATCGCCCGGGAGAGGCAGACAACGCTCTGCACACCCTCTTCCGGTGTGAGGTTATAGAAATGAATATTGAAGAAAGAAAAAGTAGAGTAAGACCAAAAAAGATATGGATGGATGCTATTGAATACAATCGTGTCAAGTGGAATTTTAGGATAAGGGTGGCCGACCCCAAGTAATTGGGATTAAAGCGAGGAAAAAGAAGAAGAAAAGACAATATTATTGACGCTCATATACTAACAATAATACCTTTATAAAATTATAAAAGGCCTAAAATGTGAAACCCTATGTAAGCCAGACGATGATTATGCACATCTATGAAAGGATACTTAAAAAATGCACCAAGAACATCCTATCTAATTATTCCAATCTAAAGTACATGTCATTAAAAGCAATAACAGGCCCTTGAACTACACTGCCCCGATAGAATCTCGAAAAGCATTCACCACATTGTTTAATACCACATATAATTTTCATTACACTTTTACTCTTAATTATTTAAGTTACGATTAAGCTTATTGTAAATTATGATATTCCTCGCCTTAATCTCAACTACTTGGGGTCGGCCACCCTTATCCTAAACTTCTACGTGACGAGATCTCCCACATCCTCTACGCTCATATCGTATTCAATAACATCCACCTCTCCATCTCTTTTTTGGTCTTCCTCAATCTATTCTTCCTTCAACATTCATTTCTATAACTGTTCTTACGGCTTCCTATTCTTCTGTTCTCAATTGTTTCAGAAATACACTGATCCTATTTAGAAATGCTTGACTAACACTTCGGAATGGCTGTAGGTGTCAAAAAGAGAATAATAATTGTTATAGGAGAATAAGTCCAACACTTAGATATGAAGCGCAGACAAAGTGCAAGGCACTAGTTCATCGATGAGTGGACGGGTTATACGAATTGCAAGTTACAAGTACTCTAAAATTTTGAGAACAAAAGTTGGTAGGTGAAAAGGAAAAACAAAGACATGACTTTATAGAGTATGCCGGACAACCGAGTATTGAAATTGATANCTTATCCTAAACTTCTACGTGACGAGATCTCCCACATCCTCTACGCTCATATCGTATTCAATAACATCCACCTCTCCATCTCTTTTTTGGTCTTCCTCAATCTATTCTTCCTTCAACATTCATTTCTATAACTGTTCTTACGGCTTCCTATTCTTCTGTTCTCAATTGTTTCAGAAATACACTGATTCTATTTAGAAATGCTTGACTAACACTTCGAAATGGCTGTTGGTGTCAAAAAGAGAATAATAATTGTTATAGGAGAATAAGTCCAACACTTAGATATGAAGCGCAGACAAAGTGCAAGGCACTAGTTCATCGATGAGTGGACGGGTTATACGAATTGCAAGTTACAAGTACTCTAAAATTTTGAGGACAAAAGTTGGTAGGTGAAAAGGAAAAACAAAGACATGACTTTATAGAGTATGCCGGACAACCGAGTATTGAAATTGATGAATGAATTGATATAATCAATTGTAATTTTTGCATAAAATAAATTCTTACGATCGCTAAAGGTCCACACTGTAGAACCTAAAATACAAAAAAAATTTATAACATAATGTTTATATTAAACATTGCAAAATGATATCACAACACAAGTAGTAACAATTTAAAAAAATAACATACTGTTGAAGATTTTAAACAACCAGACTTAGTAATCATTTTAGCGTCATAATTCTGTAATATAACCAATAAATGTTATTAGTACTAATTTTAATTTCAAAAGTTTAATTCATAAATTTTAATAAATAAATCTATTAATGCTTGATACTTACAAAAATCGTTTTCTCTTTCATATTTATAATATGTATGGCAGGTTCCTATACAAAAAAAATTAGATTTAATAATTTACACTACAAATTTGGCATTGTTAATTATAATAAACATAAAAAATTATTTATTTCAAAAATAATAATTTAATGTACTTATGAAGAAGAAAATTATTTGATGATTTTCTTAGTTCTAAGAAAGTGTTAGGTAGAGATTTTACACTAACAAATGTCACATGGACATTAAATAATAAGTATCTTAACTATACAGTTAAATTAATTATCACTTAATAAACTTTTCAAATTACTTGGCCAATTAAAATTGTGTTTCCAAAGACATCACCAAAATAAAAATTAATTACAAGAATTAAAACAAGAGAATATATTTTGTAAATCATATCTTAAGAAAAGTAATATTCAAACTGTATAATGATCAACTTATATCATAAAACTATTGTGTTAATTTTTCACTAAATTTTTCCATTTTTATACGTATAAAAGTAAATAAATATCAAAAATAAACGAAAATTATTTAAAACTATAACATAATAAAATATTTTTTATATTATCGATGACAAAAATTTATAATTTATGCTATTATTATTTGTAATGTGTCAAAAGAATTGCTGTTTATTTTTGCACTTAAATGTATAAAACTATACTATTATTATTATTAATTGTAGTATGAATTATAATGATAATTTACTATAATTGTTTTTAATAAATAATGTTTTTTTTTAATTTTTATTGTTTTTAGGTAAATTTAGATTAAATTCTGGATTTTTTGACGTATTGTTTATTAAAATCGGTACAGTGAGAGCTGAAAATTTCCATCGACAGACATATATAACTAACACCATCACAAACACAATACTTTCTCATCTTCGCATTGAGTTAGAATTTTCATTTGGGATAAAAATTCCACGTAACTGTAGAAATGGCTAACTCTTTTTATCACCAATTATAACTAATTTTGTGATATTAAATTGCAAAACAGCTATATTCAAGAACTTTGTGATGATTTTGTTATTTTCAGTAAACATTATTAAATACAATAGTAAAAAAATGTGCACAGTTTTACACTAGGTTACTCTATTTTACAGATTTTAACTTCAATGCAAAGCTAAGAAGATATTAATTTTACTATGATGTATTATTTTTTTGTTTGGTGTCTAATATGTCATAGGATCACAATTCGTATTTAGTTGAAAACATTGCTCTTAAAAATAGGAAAACATTCCCTCGTTTCATTTAAATAGAGGAAATCTCCGATAAAATTACAATTTTGTAAGTCGGTAAATTTCTACATTTTTTAAACTTTTCATTAATGGCGAATAGATAGTTATTAGATTTATATAATTAGCTAACAACTTAATGAGAAATTTATTACATTTATATTACTATTATAAATTTTTGAATTTATAATTAATGACAATTTAACACAAAGTGATACTTATTAGTAAACACGTTTATTTAAAATATACTACAAAGTTTATTTAAAAATAATTTTTTTTTCAGTTTATAATATAGTTTTTAATTAAATTAACTTAGTATATAAAAGAGAAAATTAAACAGTTTGTTTTTTTATAATTATTGAAAAATATCATATCTTTCTAAAAAAAATTAATGATTGACATTTTTTATGGTATCAAATAATTAATTTTTGTCATTTATTACAAAAAGTATTGACGGCTTTTTTTCTTCTCATTTCCATTAAAATTCTATTAATACGATAAGTTCAATCTAAAAATTTAAAATAAGATTTGATTCAAATCTGAGGAGGTATTAATTTTATTATGATCTGTTTTTTTTTTCAATCTGTCGCCACTTTTTCTCAGCTGCCACAAAATCGTTTTTTCAACGATACGTTAAATTAATTTTTATATTTATTTAGCAGACTAAAAGAATACATAATTAGCTGAGAATTAAAACAATCCGGGATCTAGCATATTGAGGATCCAATATAGTAGACTTTTGTTTGGATTGTTATCTAACAGTGATTATTGTCACTAAATCGCTTTGATACAAAGTTTTATAAATTATTTTACAAAGAATGGCTTAAAAAAATAAAAATATTTTAACGAAAATCTTACAAAGTTTTTAATTAAATGAAAAATTAATTCTAATATTGAAAATTGTTAGAACGTATATTTCTAACTGAAAGTGTATTCAGATATCTTTAATTTAATGTTTCACAAATACAGACATTAATTAGAAATTAGAATAAAAAATGTGGTATGCATAGATGGTCTCGTTCAAATCAATCCTATTTTTAAGTATTCTGTTGGATTTCTATGAATACCACACTAAAAGAAACATTACAGTCTTTAATATATTGTATTAAAGTTTTATAAAGTTTCGTTACTTTTTTTTATTATTGTAATTTTAAAATACAGAAATATTTTTAAATTTTTCTCATTTTCGACAATTACCTAACTTTATATAATTTTCATAAATATCTAACAATATATAACTGAAGTGATTTTTTCAATTTTTAAAAGAGTGATTTTCAAATAAATCAAAATCACATTTTTTTTATTTTTTGAGTAAAAAGATTGATCTACTGAAAGTTAATAATTTTTACGGACGTAAAAAAAATCTATCACGATAAATTCAATTTCATTTCAACTTTACATTATGGCTAAAATATAATTGGAACTATTAACGTATTAGTATCTTAATTCAAAAATATATTTTATTAACTTGGGAAAATTTAAGTCATACATTGAATTAAGATTTATAACCCAAACAAGTCTTTAAATTGATCTAATATTAAACATGATACAACTGAACACTAGTAAAGTATTTTTCAAATGTTATATATTTATTGTTATATTTTAAGATATATCTAGAGCGCTGATTATTAATAGATTTATTGAAATAAAAACATATATTTTTCAGAAAAATATCTAAATGTTAAATTTTATAAAAATTTAACATTCATACAATTTTAATTGTATAGCAATGATTATTTAGAAATAATCAAATTTAATATTTCTAGCATATCATAAACAGATATTAAAACTTACATAAGTATTGTCCATTTACAATTAATTTGTTTTAAAAAACAAATTTCTATAAACACTAGTTTTCATAATATATATATATATATATATATATATATATATATATAACTTGTTATTATGGGTGTTTAAAATAAACTCTAAAGAATGATGTTGTCTTCAGATAATCTAACAACATACAACAATATGTTTTTTTATAAATATTAACCTCCATTATTATTTAAAAACATTCACTATAACGGTAGAGAAAAGTGAGACAGGAAATATTAATATTTCTAAATATTAGAAATATGTCGTCTCAAATTTATTCGAAAAAATTTTACTAACTTATTACTCATATCGAGTATACGTCTATGCAGATATCAAAAACTTGTTTTTTTTAGTACATTTTATATTTTTAATAATCAATTCATTCATTCCTCAGAAACCACTAACTATAAATAATTTTTTACGATCACAATAAATATTTTATTTTATATTTAAGTTAATTATTATCTATAATTATATTTTTGTAATTAATGAAAAAATTGTTTTTGTACGATGTATTCAAATAATACATCATGATAAAAAAAATTAGGAATTTGTAAAATTTTAGTTTATATTTTTGGTTTAACTCATTAATTATTTAATAAGTTCAATATTACGTCAATTAAATATGAATTTTAATAAATATAATACTCCCATACAACAATATATAAAACGAAGACAAGTCCAGAGGTCAAATTTTTTTTTCTTCATAATAAAGTACATTACATTAGCTTTAATTTAAGATATATATAAAAGTGTCAGACCTTCCGGGACACTTTCAAAAGTTAAGTTAAAAAAGTTAATTTTTTGTGAAAAAGTTGTCATTTTAAATCCCCCCTGTGGGCAGGTTAAGTGTTAAATTTACAAAAAAACGTCATTAGGGTTAGTTTTAATTAATTTATACAATATATGCATATTATATACACGTTATTTAAAAATATAAAACCATAGTAGTATCAAAAACAGTAAAATCATTCATATTTTAAGAAAAGTTTTTTTTTAATATGGTACCCAAATTGTACCTCAATTATTTTTAGCGACCTATATTATTTGCATTTTATATTTTTGTTTTATGTACCTTAAAAACTTGTATTCTGCTTACTTTTTTGTTTTTGTGAATTTGAAAAATAAAAAAAAAATTATTACACGCACATATTGATATGCGCAACGAATAAGGAAGTAAATTCATTTTTCAGGAGATAAAAAATAAAATTTATTCTTTGATTACATCCTATATGTGTTAACAATTTTCTAATTTAATTCGATGCAAACCTAATTTTTTATATTTTGAATTACTATAAGAAGAATATAACCTAAACTCATACCTCATAATCTCAAAGTAGAATATTTTGATTTATTGCCTTATTCATTGTGCAAGGCAATATCTACTACAATAGAAAAAATTTAATCTATCGACCTTTTAATAGTAGTTCAAATTCATTCTATGACAAGAGTACAAAAGAGGAATATCTTTATCATCGAAACTATGTTATATTGTGTTCACAATTTCATGTTTAACCCTATTTTTTAGACTATAAAATATCAATCTACGCTCTTTGTAATAATCAACGTAACAGTATTTCTAATCCATCTAGAGATAGGTGATATGCATCATTAATAACAAATCTAAACTATCTATATTTAAAAGAATTATTTAAAGTCCTCAGTTAAAATTTGTGTATCTAACACATTTTAAAAACCTTATGNACTCTGTATTGTGTTCTCAATTTCATGTTTAACCCTATTTTTTTAGACTATAAAATATCAATCTACGCTCTTTGTAATAATCAACGTAACAGTATTTCTAATCCATCTAGAGATAGGAGATATGCATCATTAATAACAAATCTAAACTATCTATATTTAAAAGAATTATTTAAAGTCCTCAGTTAAAATATGTGTATCTAACACATTTTAAAAACCTTATAATGTATTTTATATTAAATGATTTTTTAAAACATTAAAAGAATTATTTTGCTGTAAATTGTTTGGTTTTCTTCATTGTTGTTATTGTAAGTGTATTATTTTCAAAGGTATCTAAGTGATGTATGTTTTTTTTGTTTACAAATAAAACAAGTAACTTGATCATCGGTGAAAAAAATTCATTAATTAGTTTCTTGGTCTTAGGACGTCAAAAAAATGATGGCGATGGTGCGCGGGTGCGGTCTGTGTTCGCCGTTGTAATACTATATTATTACTTATAATATTAACATATAATATGATGTTATCATTTGTACATGTATGTCACACATTATAATTATACAAGATCATCAAAACAGGGTTCTCTTATTTAAAATACAAAATGACCCTTTACTTATGGGATAAAATCTACTTATTGTAGAGATTATTAAATGACGCCTACACACAGGGCCCTCATTATAATTAATCAATTAGAATACAAAG